TACGATTGTGAAATTGGTGTTAAACATGAATTTGTGATTGGACATAATACTATCTACATATATATACAAATACAAATAATGTAGTGTATTTGTTGTATAATGAGTTCAAATAATTAAAATGTATACCTAAATAAAAAATAATTTTAGTGAATCTCTCGTGTTGGTAGTACAGTGTAACATACATAAAAGTAGCTTAGAGGTTTTTTAAGAGAATATTTTTAGTCAGCGGACTTCAGTTTTAGGCAATACCCTCTGCCTTGGATATGTAATAACCGACACACGTGCAACATGGTTACATTGATGAGGGGAATTAGATGGCTGTGTCTCTGGTAACCAGTACATGTGCATAGCAAACACTGAGACAGATATTTAATGACAATCTTGTGCGCCGACCTGGCTGTGTTCAGAGCAGACCTAAGCATACCGCTGAGCTTCAACTTGAACGTGGAATATCGTTCACATCATAGTTTAATCATGGCGCCATATTCATAACAGAAAACAAACATTCATTGGATGGACGAACTCATTGAAGTCAGTGGAACAAAACTGTGAACCCCACAATAACGAGTATGCTCTTTCTGTTTGCTATTCGCAATTTATGATACGTTTGGGAGAGGAATTTGAGAATAGGATTATTTCAGAGATGTGATATTTACAAATTCAGCAGAAAAATAAAGATTTTTGAAAATACTGTCCTTAAATATTTGCTTAACTGTTCATGTTCGTAATAGCAATTCGTGAACTGTTCCCAGTGCAAAGTGATTAAGGAAAACGGTTACCAGATTAAATTATTTCACCGTGCACACTACTTACATCAAGACAAGGTAAGGGCGAATTTTTGTGAACAATTGCCCATAACAATGCATGAACATAACAGTGTGCCCATCTTTAAAACAACAGTTCGAAGAAGATGGAGATACCTACAAACGTTTAATAAACGTCAGGAGGAGGACATTTATGTTCATACCAAGTTATTCAAATTCATAATATAATATATGCAAATTAGCCTTTTCTGCGTATTACAGACCTTATAACAGCAACAATAGTCTGTCTATTTTTTGTCAGTATTAGTCAGTATGTAGAAGTTTTTTGTTCATTGACATTTCAGAAAAAAAAATCAAAAGGGGTGTTTACGACCACAAACAAGCTGCATGCGATAATGCATCTTCTCAAAATCAAATAATATCGGTGTGGTGTTCATTGGTAAAATATACCGAATTACGTGTGCTTTAACCATTAAATAGCCACTCTCTTAGTATAAGTTCTGTACACGGCAGAAGTGACATTCGCGATTCGTCAATTGCTATTTCACTATACCCCGGTGGTTCAATTCACCATCAATCGCAAATTACATTTATACTTTTTATAGAAAAAATTACCATTTACATAAGGTTAGGGATTTTATGCAAGATAGAGGTGAAGGCAAAATCCACTTAAATGTGGGAGACTTAGCAGGTTCAAGATACAATTACGTCACCGCATTTTATGATACATGCCATGCAATTACTTTATAGAATGTCATGTGTGGAACAGATTCAATGACAATACTGCGACAATTCAATAATCTACTGCATAAATTTAACACGTGTATAGAAATGCGAGGTAATGCACTTTACTTCATAATTCTCCACCACTCTCGGAGAAATAGTTGTGCACTCAAATGTTGCTTTACAGGCGTGCTGTACTGATTTGTCAAAGTGGTGGTCTTGTGACAAAGACATTTAGCTTACACACATGTTGGGTTAAAGTAACCCACGAATCAAGATTATACGTCGCCATTTTGACCTTTTTTTATATAATTACTATTTGTTTCACAGAGCTTCAAACATCACAACAAGCCCTGCACTTGCTGCTGATCTGCACTGGCTCGGAAGATGAATTCTGATTGGCTAAAAAAACAAAAAACTTGTGGCGTTGAATGCACGTTTATTCTCAGTAATGTTATGCAAATTAGAAATTCAAACTAGCTAATCATTTACAACCTTCCGAGCCAGTGCAGACTAGCCCTGCACTTGCTCTGACTTTTCGCTCATTCTCCAACCCTAATTTCATTTCTAGAATTGCCTATCCATAAATTATTACATTTGTGACGTCTGTAATTAAAATGGCATTCCTATGGTGATTATTTATTTCCATCGACAGCACACATTCAGTGCATTTGGTCGACAATTTTTCGTTCACAACGACATGCGAATAGACTGAGTCGTTGGTGGCTACACCGTGTTTTTCAAAAGTGAGGTCAGATGTGTTTTTTAAAAACTAGAACAGTGTGTCCGATATTACGAAACAGATGAATATCATCTATGTAATTTTTATTTAGAGTTCGAATTTATCAGTTAACATTTTCATGAAGTTTAATTAATTATCAGTATACCAGTATATTTATTCCATTACTTTAACAACTTGCAATGGTGGGAGAGAATTAAACGAGAATTGTTAACAATAGAATAAGTCTAAAATATTTATTGATATATTTATTCTCATAATTTAACATTTTGTAATGGTGGAAATTAATTACACCAAGAAGATATACATGAACGTGTCTTGGCATTATGGTCGGGTCAGTAAGGTTTACGCATACGGCAAATATACCAAATTTGAGAAAATGTTTGACCATGAAATTAATGATGTAATTATTTTGTTCTTGACAGTAAAATTGCACTGTGAGTCACCGGAGCGACTTCGATTCTAGGTGACAAGTGTGATCACGCCATGGAGGTTCAGTTTCTCAAGCAGTTCAAAATCCCCATGTCCCAAATGGTTTGTAAATAACTGCAAATAAAATGTTTGGCGAACACATGTATATAAAAATACTTAAAACAATATTTGACTCGAAAGTTAAACCAATTTTAAATTATGGAGCGGCAAATAGAAATCGGTATTGTAAACCAATTGAAGATTTTCAGTTAAATTGGTGTGAATATATATTAGGTGTGGGGCAAAAAACAACCAACAATGCAGTTATGGGTGAACTCTGACGATATCCACTTAGTATTGGCAGAAATATAATCCGTATTAAATTTCGGAAACATATTCTGAAAATGTCATCTAATCGACTCGTTTACAAAGCA